TTTAGATCATGAAACAGATTTTCCTTGCTTTCCTGATCCATTCAACCCTTCTCTACCATCGACAAATGCATGCACAAACCAACACAAACAGGCTAGGAAGCACGTCATAACCAAAACACATAAAGCTGTGCATTATAGCCCAATTGAAAACAAAGACATTCCTACTGAGCCTAAAAAACAAGTACTTATTTCAGCTGACAGCCACAGCTGCCATTTTTCCTCCATTCTCAGTAGGAAGTTTCTCTCTAACTACTCAGTCTCATCTATTTTTAAACGTAATGGAAGGTTCCAGAGGTGACTGCAGAGTTGGACACCCTCATGAAGACACTGACTAATCAGGACACAGTCATTATTATAGTAGGGCAGAATGAAATTATTTTGAGCGGTGATTTACATGTGAATAACATGTAAACATACCCATTTACAACAACAACAATTTTCGTTTACTATTGATTTGTTATTACGGCTCCAATATGAAATATCTGATATTGTACTATTTACGGTTTCTTTATTGCAAAGAATATTCGTATCGTCCGCAAAGCGAACTGTTCTTCCGTTTGTAATCGTCGAGGACATATCGTATACATATAGTAAAAGGAGAATATTGCCTAAAATCGACACCTGTAGCATTTCAAGCAATTGGCAAAGAATCGGTTAAGGTGTGCACATAATATTCCATTATTTCAGTAATTTATAATATTCCATTATTTCAGTAATTTATAATATTCCATTATTTCAGTATTTCTACTCTCACAGATCGTTGTATAAAATATGAACATAACCAATCTAGAGCAATACCATGAATTCCGTACAAAGGTAATTTTGAAAGTAAAATGTTATGATCAATTACGTCAAACGCGTTTTGTAAGATCTAAAAATATTCCAATAGGTGGTTCATTTTGGTCCATGGATAAGGTGATATCTTTAAGAAAAGAAAATATAGCTGTTTACGTAGATTTAGATTTTTGAAACCCATGTTGGCAATCTGAAAACACGTTGTGTTTACTAAGAAAGGTTTCCATTCGTATGTCTCTCTAGCATTTTTGAAAAAAGTGATAAAAGAGAAATTGGCCGATAATTTTGAATTTCATTTTGTTGCTGTTTTTAAAGCGGCTTTATCTTAGCTGTTTTAAAAATATCTGGAAAAATTCCTGTGCATGAGGATACTTTAAAAATGTGAATTAATGGGTGTATAATGGCGGGTGCACAAGTCTTTAATAAACAATCCGGAAATTCATGTAAACTGGCCGAATATTTTAGGAAGAAGTTTCGGAAACGAACATTGTGTTCAAAATTTTTGGGGAAACACCTAATGGTAAATTTTGTGGCTGAAGACCCTTAGTGAGATCGGCAGCAATTGTCTAAAAGTATTGGTTGAAGAGACTCCCCGCTGTTGCCGGAATGTTCACATTTCTATCGTTATGGTTTAAAACAACACTCTCTACAAGGTTTCGAGTTGATTTGGTTGAATGTTTTACTATTGCTTTTGTTTTATTATTTGAGTTCAAAATATCCTAATCATGTTTCATGATTTTAGCGTGCCTTATGACTTTTCTTATCAATAATTTGAATTTTTTAAAGTAGAGGAGGAAAAACTTAGGATACGTTATGATGCTTAGAAATGAAAGAAAGAATTAGTTTGTTTTTACATGATGTCCTAATCTCTTCTGTTATCCAAAAATTGATTTTCAGTATTTAATTTTCTTTTTGATAAGGAAAGCAAGTGTTAAAAATGAAATGAAAATGTTGAAAAAAGAAAAAGAATTAAATTTATTGTTTGTATCAACAGTATTGTAAACTGTGTCCCATGACTCTTGCAGCAAGTAATTAATGAATAATTATATTTTACTTTTATAATAATAATCTACTCATATGTGTATTATTTATTGTGTCAGTATTCGCATTTCTTATAATGGTAAGAGTTAGTGTGATCACTGTAACCGAAATTTATGTTTCAGTTTCATATCGAGTAGTGGTTTTGTTAATTATTATTTGATAGATTGCTTTCTTTGAATGTAGGGTGATCCTTGTAAGTACGTTTACTGTAATATCTAAACTGCACGAATGAATTACGTTGAGAAACTGCTCTTTTTTGCAAGATTCAACCAGAAAATCAATGTTAAAGTCTCTACATACAACAATGGATTCAAAAGAGCAGTTGCTGACTTTGTTTAGTGTATTCTCCAGTTTTTTAAAGAGCATAACATAATCTACTGCTCTCTTTGTTGGAGTAGATGCAAAGTAATATAATTTTTAGCATAGGAAGATGTACTACAAATATTTCAAAAACATTTTCAGAGGAATACACATTTAATTCCGTCAAGGAGATAGAATCAATATTATTTCTAACGTAAATGCAAGAACCTCCATATGCAGGACCTTTATGCGATTCCTTATCTCTACAATAATAGCCTGCAAGGTAAAAGTTTGGAATTTGGAATATGCTAAGTTCATTATGAAATAACCAATGTTCTGTAAAGCAAAGACCATCCATGTAATTGAAATCGCTCTGTAGAGCTGCTTCGATAAACTCAGTTATATTTGAAAGGGATTGAACGTTATGGTGCGATATATTTATCTTTTGCGAGTACCGATACGGATGTTTTTCTACTGCATCTGATTGAAGTGGCTATATATTTACTGCATTTGAATCTCAAGTACGTGGTCAAAGGTTGTAATGTGTCCCAGCAGTGACAGATTGTGAGGAAATTGGGGCATCAGGTGTAGGTGAATTGGTAGTGGGAATGGGAGAAACAGGAGTAGGGTCAGAGGAAGAGGTAATAGGGTTCAAAATAAGGGTGGGGGTGGAGAATGTAAGGAAGGTGTAAGTTGTGGATTTTTGTCAGAGACTTGCGTAGGGCTGGAGTTAATTATGTGTTGTGCAAGCTTGTTGCCGACTACTTGTTTTCCAGCAAGGTTCATGTGGAGACCATGCCAGGTGAAGTGTTTTTCTGTTTGTTAATATAATTTAAGAAAGTATTACATTTGTTTCTTTCAGTTGCAAATTATTGGTTTGTGTGCTTCCGAAGGCCCTTTGAAGGGCTTTTCTTATGAAGGACAAGGAAGTTAAAAGTAATACTTTGTAAGTAGCTCACCTTTGAGAAAATTGAGCTAAGTAGATTGGAAACAAAAGTATGCACAAAATGTATTATATTAGAAATGTGCAAATAAAAACAATTTGAATCCCTAAAATGTTACAGACTTAAATTTTCACTCTTGTGTAAAACAGTGTTCATAAAATTGTTCTGTTTTCAACGTTCAAGAATGGCAATATAAGCCTCTTTTAAGTTCTTTATCTTTTGTTTTGAAAGTTTACTTTCACATTTCAGTTGAGAAGTCGGTTGAATTAAATTTTTTCAGGAAGAACATTTTTTTCATGAAACATATGTCGACTCAATCTTCAACAGTGAAGAGAGACTGAGGAGTGTTCACCCTCTTCACAAAAGGAGGCATGAATGGCTTATGTATGATTACATTGCAGTACCATAATGTAACAATAGTCTGTGCAAGTATGGTCAAAGCCTGGAAGAAGTTGCTGTGAACAAACGAGAAAGCTCCCTCCGACTGTGCATGCACATGGAGAGGAGATGATACATTGTCCATCCATTATTCTCCTTGATATTCCCCTGCCCATGGCAGCACGTCTCAGAGCCCAGAAATAAACAGAATATAACATGTTTCTTGCCAAGAGTATGGCTTGGCGTGTGCATTCAATGGCACTTTTGTCACATTTTAGGAAACAACATTTGTCTCATAACTCGGCTGCTTTGCTTGGAGTGAAATATTCAAATACTTACACTCTCCTCAGAACGAAGCCAATTATGCAATGAGTGGGGCTATGATTGTTATGCAATATAAACAGCATAATATGCACGAAGGCCTGTATATGTAAATATATTTGATGACTAGAGCCCATAAGTCCAGGTATTTATTCTGGCTAAAGTAGAAGGCATTCTAACAATAAAAAGTTAACAATTAAAAGGAATGATTGTAATAAATTAATAATTGAAATGATTCACATTTTTATTGTAAGTCTAAAATTTACATTACCACTTATGTGGAAGGAAACAATAACTTTTTTGTAATCTTGTGTGCACATGATCACCTGGTATAATGACTACGAATTTGTTTTACTCAAGATGCTGTCTCTACCAAATGCTACTTGTACTTACACTCACTTGTAAATATATATACGAGATGAATCTGTCTGTACTTGGCGCAACTGCATGTGTATAGGCCAGGGCTCCAGCAGCGTCCCAGCCTCACGGTCATGGGTTAGGTGTGTTTAGCACGAAGACATCTCTACGCCGAATTCTGGTCTTCTCAACCTGAGAATTGAATTTTCTCTTCGTATTTTCTTACTGGGACATAGCAAGGAAAACACACACTATAATCTTGCACGATTGGAATCGAACTGGGGTTGCGTCATGGAAAGTGAGCATGGTTATGAATAAGCTAAACCGCAAGGGCATACAAAAAA